TGCAGTTGAAAGTAGGTGATGGTGATCCTTACTTTAGAGAGCTTGTTGAGTCTAAATCTCACAAATGTAGATATTTATCTCCGAGTATCCAAAACGAACTAATTGAAATTCTTGGTAATGCCACTCAACTCAAACTCGTTGATAAAATAAAAACTGCCCCCTGTTATACTCTTATTTTTGACACTACAAGCGATATCTGCCGGGTGGACCAATCTCAATTGTGGTAAGATGGGTAGACGTTGAAGCTGCAGAAGCTGTTGAAACGTTTTTGGGGTTCCTTCCTGCCAAACAAGGAGGAACTGCCAAAGCGCTAACAGACACTGTTCTCGACTATTTGCGACATATAACTTTGGATCCCAAACGAATAAGGGGCCAGGGATATGACGGAGCAAGTGTAATGAGTGGAAGCAAAGGAGGTTTCAACATACTAATCTCAAATTACCTTAAAAGTGAAGGAGTAACATCACCCGCTCCGTTTGTTCACTGTGCTAGCCATAACCTAAACCTTGTTTTAAATGATGCTGTTGAATGCAATGCTGATAGCATCAACTTTTTTTCTGATCTTGAAGAAATTTATAACTTTTTTAACAAAAGCATCAATCGAACAGCGGAGCTTAACAGCGCTACAAGTGTTGATAACTCTGCTGAACTCAGCGTGATCAATGAATTCATGGACAGTGTGGTGTCTGACAGTGACAATTCTGACGACACTAGCATTAATTCCGGCTCAATCACCCCCAAAAGGAAGAGGAGGAATGGTAAAAATAAGTTGACACTGAAGAAACTGTGTGCCACCAGATGGTCGTCAAGAATTAACTCTGTAAGAGCAGTAAAGAATCGATATGGTGATTTGCTCCATGTGTTGAACAAATTGAAAGAAAAGAAAGGAAAAGATAATGCCAAAGAGTGGGACAAAGCAGGAAATTTGCACCGCAAAATGAACAGATTTGAACTCGTGATCATGCTCATTATATGGGAAAAGTTACTGACAGCAATTCAGATCGCCTCAGCTGACTTACAGTCAATGAAAATTAGAGAGGGCCCTGTGTAAAGTAAAAGGCATGCAAGACAAGTGGAATACGATCAAAATGGAAGCTGTGAAATTTGCGTTGAAAGTCGGTGTCTCGTTTACTTTTACATTTAAGAGAGTAGGCCGTGTTCCTCAATTCTTTGATGAATTTGCGTCAGACACCAGACCACAGGACCCTGAAGAAAGATTTACTCTCGAGATGTTTTACCGAGTGATCGACACTGCAACCACTCAATTAGAAGAATGCTTCAAGAGCCAGAACTTTGTTGCCAACGCCTTCAAGTTTGTACTTCCTGGAAGTCTTGCATCTTTAGACATCACAGAGATGCGCAAGTATGTTAACGTATTTGTTAACGAATATAAAGGAGACATATGCAAAGATGGCATTGAAGTAGTAGATTACACAGCTGATCTTATGGGTGAAATTGAATCGTTTCGCTGGTGTTTCGGAAATCAATTGAAGCGTATGTCAAGTGTTTCCGAGGTACTCGCCCTGTTAAAAGAGGTGGACATGAGTTCCTACTCTAAGTTATTATCAGCTGTTGTCATATTTGTCACTCTCCCAGTCACAGTTGCGAGCGCAGAGCGATCATTCTCAAAGTTGAAACTTATAAAGAATTATCTGTGTTCAAGTATTTCTCAAGATCGTATGGATTCATTGGCCATCCTTTCTATTGAGAACACAGAAGCGTGGTCTTTGAATATGGAGAAACTAATTGATAAATTCGCTGAGAAAAAGCACGAATCAGCAAATTCAAAGTTTGAACTATTGTGAATTGATCTATCTTCAGTTTAGACTATTCAGACAATTGAATTTTTGTTGAGTTTTAAGGACTGTTAGGTTGATAGAATGATAGCATTTAAACCAGTCTGTTTTTACTGAGTAACTACATGTAATCTGCATTTCTTTTGTGACATCTTCATCTTGCTTAGTTCCTGCGTGGAGGAAAACATTTTAATTCTCACCGTAGATTAAAAAAGAAGTTTAGAGGGCATAACTGATGGCTTCTTTTATAGTTTAGTTTATGTGGAGGGGGCCCCTTACCGGTTTTTCCCCCGGGAGACCCCAGATGTAACGTCACGCCACTGCTGTTGGCCAATCAAATTGCGTGTTTCACTGTAGTTATTATATAATATTTCTTCTTCAGTGGGAAATTAGCTTCATATACATCTGTAAACATTTCCAAAAATTCATTATAGGCCTTTTCTGCGTCGTTTGTTTCATTTAAAATATTATCCCATGAAAGGGTTCTAATTTCATTTTTAAATCTTCTGTGTTGGTTTCATTGAATAGTCTTTGATATGTAACATTATTTACATTTTCCCAGGCGTTTTTGTCAAACATGTTTGTGTTAAACATATGCACTATTGGCAAGTGATCTGAAATATCGCTGAAAATAATGCCGTTGATACTATCATCAAGTTGTTCCAGGTTATTGATAAAAATGTTGTCGATTAGTGTGACAGTATGATGAGTAATTCTTGTTGCTTTAGTAATTAGTGGGGAAAAGGATGATGTGTATAATTGTTCAGTAAAATATTTGGCATAATCACAAGATTCTGATTTAAATAAGTCGATATTAAAATCTCCCATCAAGTAACAGAGTTTATTATCCCCGTCAACAGTTTCTAAAATCTCATTGATTGACTGTTTAAATGAATCAAAATTACAGCTTGGTGGTCTATAAACTACCCCAATAATGATACTTTTACCATTCTTATTCATTATTTCAATGAACTTGGTCTCAATTATATCTTCTATATTTTTATCTAATTCATTCCGACTTTTGAACTCTAGTTGTTTTCAAACATATAAACCTGCACCGCCTCCTTTTTTTTCTGCCTATTTGAACCAAAATATTCGTAATCATTCAATGTAAAACAATCCATATTGTTATCATTCAGCCAAGTCTCAGTTAGTTATATTATCTTGAAATGTATATCTAAAGTATCAATCAAATCTATGAAAGAGTCAAATTCATTTGATATACTTCTTATGTTTAGATGTAATAACGAAAATATTTTTGCAATATTTTAAATTTCATTTACGTTCGGCTAAAATCCTTTGGTAGGAAATAATCACAGCATATACTATTTGTGTTGAACCAGGTATCAAGTTCAATATTATTGCCAGATAGCGCTATATTTTGATTTGTTTGAAAAGGATTAAATCTTAATTGACTTAGTCTATCGAAATCGCTTTGGGATAATCTGTTTGTAGAACCTAATGTTTCAAATTCACTGTTAGTACACTGTAAAAACTGATTGGTTAAAATGACCATTTTTTTAGGTTGCAACCATTGGCAATTGGTCATTTTGACCAATTGTTTAATTAGTTAGTCGCATTTGACCAATTAAATTTGGTTCCTTTGACTATTACTTAATTGGTTGAAAAAATTGGTCATCTTTCGACCAATTTATA